GCTGTACTTAGTTGCTCATCAGTAACAGACTCTTCAGTCATATCTGATACGGATGATTCATCTAAGGATTCCGTGATTGGTGCCAGAGTGGTGGTATTGGTGAATGGTTCAGAAGAGGAGGATGAGGAAATTATTGAATAATCTTCAGGTGCATCGATAGTGAGCTCGAAATCCCAAACTAGCTCCTCTCTCTTCTTAAGCTTCTTCTCATCCACTGTAGTGACAACTAAGCGAGCATAAGTGGTCCATGAATCACCGGATGTGACAGTACCAACTGCTTGGAATATGATAGTATCACTATCAACAATACTGTCAGTGAAGGTATAGGTGACAGCTGAGTCGGTGATATCAATACTGGCACTTTCAGTAACATCATCATTGATAGTTACATCTGCGTCCGAGTAGAAAAAGCCATCATCCTCGGTTCCGTTACGACTCATTGTCAGAATAACAGAGGACCATGGACCAACATTTCCCGGAAGTTCGAGTGACCAAACAAGTGAATCATCTTCACTGAATTGTCCTAGAAGAGCTGGACCACTGGTTGGTTCAAGCACAGGCGTTGTGGATTCAATAGAAGACGCCTCGCTTGATTCGCTTGATGATGATACGGAAATCTCAGAAGATTCGGCGGAAGATTCCAAAGTTGAAACAGATTCAGATTCAGATGATTCTGTAGACTCTTCTGAGGCTGTTGACTCAGATGATTCTGTAGACTCTTCTGAGACCGTAGATTCTTCTAAAACTGTTGATTCAGATGATTCTGTTGTCTCTTCTAAAACTGTAGACTCTTCTAAAACTGTTGATTCAGATGATTCTGTAGACTCTTCTGAGACTGTAGACTCCTCTAAAACTGTTGATTCAGATGATTCTGTTGTCTCTTCTAAAACTGTTGATTCAGATGACTCCGTAGACTCTTCTAAAACTGTTGACTCTGTAGACACTGAAGATACTCGAGGATTATTTGGTCTGAACTCATAAAACGTATTTGTTACGTTTTGGTGTCCACATCTGGGTTCATAGGAGTGTGGATATGCACCAACATGACATGTATCATAAGCATTGTCTGGTAAGATAATTCTTGTGAGTGTGAGTCTATTAGTAAGACAAGAAACAGTAAACAAGTATGTATGGTTACCCTTTGTGACAGCAAAGGCACCAGTGTGTGCGTTGATGGCATCAATATTAGTAGTTCCAATGACATATGCGCCTTGCTTCAAGTTAACATAGAAATTACTTGGTGATAAGAAGGCAGGAAAGTTTCCGTATGACTCTTTGGCCTCAGTGTAGTAAACTATATTAGTAACATCATCGTAATCTTCTGTGAAATTGAGGAAAGAGAAAAGTCTGTAAGTAATGGGCCAGGTGTCAAGTTTCTCATACCAAGCAGTGGTTACTACGGTGAACCCCTCAATATCGATCGTCACAACATCCGTGAAGCAGTCACTAGACCCTCTACCAGAAGTATAGGTGTAAGAATAGGACATATCTGTAGTAACTGTATGAGTCGTGAAAGTCAGCGGACCTGATTGTGTTGACTCCTCTGATGTAACTGCTTCTGCAGTTGGAACTGCCAAAGCGTTCGCATCTGGGACTGCTGAGCCAGACACAGCAGTGAAAAGCGCTAGTAAGCCAGTAAAGATAGTGGATGTCCTCATTACTCTTGATTTTGACTAAAGGTAATTCATATGTGAGCAAAACAACAGACCAAGGGTGGTGAAGACGTGTCCTTTTATACTTTTCTTGTGCCTAGTGGGTATGGTGCCCGTGTGGCCTGTGTATGCCCACCCTCTTTCGAACACGATGCCTTTGTTCCAAAGCACAACTTGCTCCCTCAAGGTACTGTAGAGCTTTCAATTCTTGACTCATGTTTGAAGGACAAAACTGTAAGCTACTTCCAAGACTTGTCCAGGCGGCTTTCAAGGTGTGAGCTGAACATTCTTGATATAAAATACGCACAATGTTGTGCTTTTCCGAACAGGTTATGTATTCACGCATCAACACATCCCGTTTTGAAGGCCATATCTGGGCTGAGATACTGATGCTTCAACTGCTGACTCTGACCTCAATGTGATGGTGTTTCCAATCCAGTACCAGCTCCATCTGACCTTCTCAACCTCTTCGAATTCGAATAAGGGGGTGTAAAGTTTCTTGGAAGAAATTGACCTCCCCAGTAAAAGTAAACAAACATTGGCGCTAATAAGTACATGGGTTACTGGATTTGACATCCGTTATCTGCTGATTCGCTCATTTCTGTCACCAAGGCGAGACATTTCAACGCCTTAATCTGGACTACTTCGTGTGTCAGGAGAGTAAATCACCCGAAATGACAACTGTACACTTCCAAGACAGTACTGGTGTGGTTGAAACTAGTAGTCCCCTTTCCGGTATTGGGTGCTGAGATAGTTCAAACCCGGATGCATCGACTGCACCTAGGGTGTATCGAAACGTGTCATGCTCTCCCTCCTTTTCAGGTGGAACATCTACATCACAACTCACACTTGCTGCAACTGACTACCGCAATGGTGATGTTGGACCTCTGAATAAGGGTTTCGGATTTATTGTAAGATTAATCGAATGATTACCACAGCAGCACTTAACTGTTCTTACACTTCTTTTATGTTTTATGGAAACAATTTGAATCATGAGCTGTCAAGATGCATGTGTTTCTACAGTGGCTTCAAAGGAACTCTTTGAAGCATTGCATTTGCTTCCTTTCTAACTTCTTATGAGGAGAGCCTTTTATCCTGTACTTTTCACGCTATCCTAATTAAGAATTATCTTATCGTCATTATTTCATATTATACTAACGTTTAGCTGGCACTTGAATTAGAAGGGAACAATTTCGACAACTGTTTAGTTGTTCATTGTGTAACACATTGTGATGTTATTATTGTAAGAAACTGTAAGCTTGGCCCTGAAGAGCACACAATCCATTCTGGAGATGCAGGGAAAAGATGTGGAAGATGCGTGTGGTGCAGGAATGACAGGTCTCACGTGAAGACACGGGATGATACCTGCTCGACCAACCTTTGAAGGTTCACTTGTGCTGTGTATTGGCTATTGAAGCAAGCTGTCGATGATGAGAAACCTTTTCGCATGTGGCTTTGGTTTTTTACTATGTCCTATGTGTTATTTGCTCTGGAAGAATGTGATTACAAGTGATGAGGAATGGTGATGGTTTCCTGGAAGCACATAAGTGCTTCAAAGGGTCCGTGGATCCTTACAGTTAAGACAGAGAAGTCCATTTTGGATACTTACACTTAACTGGTCTAAAACATGAGGCTAGCAAAAGTCAGATAAGATTAAATAGTAAAATATTTTATACAAAAAAAGTGTGAAATGAAATGGAGAAATATCAACAGTAAGCACATTCAGAAAGTACTTCGAATGAGTCCTTTTTCAAGTAATAGGCGAATGGGGAATGGTTCAATCAGTTAGCCATCTCTAGGGGCCATCAATGCCAAAAACAATCCACCGAAGATAGAGGTGCTTAATACTCTTGCAGCTCCATCAGCCTGCGTTATCACAGAATAAGAACTAGTGGAATTTACAGGAGCCAGTGTAGTGGTTCCAGATTGAATGGATGTTTCCATGCTGGAACTTTCTGGAATGTCCCCCACGTCTGTTGTCTGAGATGTTTGACCTTCCTCTGTTGTCTGAGTTGTCTGAGTTGTCTGAGTTGTCTGAGTTGTCTGGAAGGTGCGCAAATTTAATGGCACAAGTGAAGTGTATGTTGATGTCGTTGTCCACGAACTTGCTGATGTTCCAACACTCTCTGATATAACATAGGTTGTAACGAATGTTACATATGATGTGGTTGTAACAAGGCTTTTCGTAGTGAAGGTTGTCTCTGTTGTTTCGAGTTGCTCAGGCTCCTCAGGTTCCATTGTACTTGATGTTATTCCCACATACGTAATATCAGAAGAGCCTGTTGTGGCTCTAGTGATAACAGATTCTTCAGTCGAAGCTGTAGTTCCTCCTGGTGCAAGCGTTGTGGTGCCTCTTGTAGTAATAGTACCATCATTTGTTCCAGTTGATGTTGTTGCACTGGAAACTCTGATATTTGCATCTGGAGTGTTGGTAAGTGTGTCAACAGATTCAATTGATGTACTTCCAATATAAACACTGGTAGAAGTAGCAGTCGTCATATCAGTAAGGACCTCATCAGTGGAAGTGGCAGTGACCATAACAGGATCGTTCTCTGTCGATAAAGTAATCCCAATATCAGGTGTTGATATAGTTGTACCGGTGACATCTTCTGAAGAGAAAGTCGTGGCTTCATCCACTGGACTAGTTGATGTTGCAAAGCCAAGTTCTGGGGTCCCAGTAAAAGTGTTATCGTTAGAAGTTGTGCTGAAAGTCTGTCCTGGGAGAATAGTGCTGTATCCTGAGGTTGTTATATCAGTCAATGGACAGTATGTGGTATAACTAGTGACAACACCGTTCAACGTCATGGTGACCACTGTAACGCCAGTAGTAATTACATCTGTGTAACAAGCTTCATCGTTACAAGATGAAATGCTTATAACAGTTGTTTCTATGTCTGCTTGTGTAGGAGTGAGGGCCACTAATGACGGTGAAACAGTACTGTTGCTTGAAGCAACACTTTCTGTAAGATTCGAAAAGTTGAACTCTAGAGCTTGCTGATCAGCAGATGTATAAGAGCTGGAAACTGGGATTTGCACAGTATTCGAAGAAGTAGCAGAAGTAGCGAAGTTGCCTAGTATTGTCAATGTCGAACTTTCACTTGAGCTGGAGTTCCAAGCAGGTGCTAATGTTGTTGGTGAGAAAGACTCAGATTCATCGACACCATTATCTATCCATGTCTGGGAGCTAGTTGTGCTATTGACGTATGGAATTGATGCTTCATCTGTTAAGTTAGCTGATGAACCAGTATCAATATCAAATCCATTATGTGATGCAACGGTAGAGTTAGTGGCAGAACTCATACTGTCATTAGCAATTGTGTTTCCTGTCTCAGTTGTGACTGCATAAGATGACTGAGTGGATGTGTTTCCACGTATATTGGATTGTTGTAGTATTGTTGGATCAATTGTAGAGTTTATTTGCGTCAACTGAGTTTCCAAAGTCGCAGTAGAAAGAGCACCCATGTTTGCTAATGTAACAACGGAGGAGCTTTCGAATTGCTCACTATTTGTGACATTGTAAACAACCTGTTGAATAGCAGTTTCAGAAGATTCCAAAGCTTGCAAAGGTTCCAAGGAGGCCGTATTATTCGAGATTGATACCGTATTGCTAGACAAAGAAGCAATGGTTGTCTCAGATGGGACGGTCAGGATATCTGTGACAAAAGATGCGAAGCTTGGAGTAGTCACATTGGTGGAAGTGTTTCCAAAGTAGCCAAACTGTCCAATGGTCGTTAAAGAAGAAGTCGACGAAGACTGTGCAATGGCACAGCTCAAGAGGAATGAGAGATAAATACCAGATTTCATTTCTCGATATAGGTGTTCCTTATGGTGATGATTCATTACAACACCTTTAAAAGAAAGACTTCAATAGGGAGCATTCGACTCTCCTTAAATAGACCCCCATTTGAATCACCGTTTATCATCAATTGTATCTACCATCTGCTCAAATTGAATTGATGATGATCCCAAAGAGGAATAAAGCACGTTAACACCACCAGCCTCATCTGGAGGATTAATGCCGATCCAAGAAATATTTTAGCAAGCCATCTTGATGGAGTAACTCACAACAGCAGAAGTGTTGGTCAAACTATGTCCACGTGTACAGCAGTTGCCTGTTGTGGCTGGTTTAACGGTAAAAGAACTGTCAATATTCTACAGTTGTAGCCTGCGTGATAGAAATGTATAGACCAAAGAGAGGAAAAACAAGAGAGAAAAAGCAATACGTTATCAATTGGATCAGCTATATTGTGATTTTGTTAGTGTTAATAATAGATCAATAGACTAGAGTGGAGTGATCAGAGCTCAAACTCATCCTCCAGCTCATCCATTTCTTCTTCCAGTTCCTCATCGCCCATGTCCGAATCTGAATAAGCACTATATTCCTCCTCCACATCCTCCTCGTCGTGTTCATCTTCTATTTCCTCGTCTAAATGGTTATAGGACTCCCCGGCATCTTCATCATCGCTGCCATCATCGTTGGTGTCCAGCACACATTTGATAGCAGCTTCGTCAACATCAACGTATGGAGAGGCATACTCCACAGGCGACCCGCATTTCAAACACTGCCATTTCTCCTTGGAGTTATTAGCACCGTCTAGCTTCGTCACTAGGCAGACATAGCAGTATTTACAACCACAGTTTGTCTCCACTGGGTTGACTATTCTCTGTTTTTTGCCCGATGTTTCAAAACAGATAGCACATTCACGCTCTTTCAGATGTTTGAACTCGATTGAGTCCAGCTTTCCAGTCGAAGGCTTTGCCAGTAGCTTTGTAAATATGGCACTTATTTGAGAGTTCTTCAGTATAGGCAATATGAACAGAATGAACTCCAAAAACGTGTTCCAGATGAGTTGTCTATTCTGAAACTCATACGAAACGTCACCTTTCTGTTTGGCCAGTTCCAAGGAGTTATACGACATTTTGATATCCAGCAGTCTCATAAGCAAGTTGGGATACACGCCCTTCACCAAAAAGACGAGGAAGTTCCCAGCATCTAGCAGTTGGTATCCCCTTTCCAAGGTTCTATACCACTTCGACCTCCAAGTATCCTCGTCGTACATTATTGAGCTCAGCTTCGTGCCAACATAATTGCCCATGACGAGGGACAGAACGTAAATGTGTTTCTTCCACGAATGGAGGTTCTTGTATTTCAAGTTCATCAGGAACATTCCATAGGACTGGTCTTTATTGCCAATGGTCAGCTTGTACAGTAAGAGCTTGAGAAGAAGTGTAACTTCTTCCCTGTAATCAGAGATTTGGCTCGAGAGATGTGTAAGGAGCTCATCATCGAGCAAGTGCGCATCAAGCTGTGTGACCCTTGGTGTTCTGATGAGCATCTTCAGAGCGTTTCTGTTCCAATTGTATGTGTGTTTTTAGCTGTTTTTATTTGAAGTGTTGAACTGAATTCTGACGTTGTATACAAAATTATGTCCTGAGGCTTTTCCCCAGTCCCGAGAGCTACTGTTTTGAGGGGGGCCGGAAGAACTTCTTTGTGGGGGGCGAGACTCGCGGGACTGGATAAGACTGGACTGGACAAGACTAGACTGGACAAGACTAGGCTTGTTACCATGCCTAATGTGATATAGGACTAGACTAATTTACAAGCCATTAATTGGAAAGAGAGAGGTATACAGATTAAGCAGTTACATATACAATTCAAAACACTATATCACTTCTCAGTACCCACTTCTCGCCTTCCAGAACCTCCATTGCCTCGTGTTCTAAGCAGTCTCCACCACCGTGTCTATGGAGGCATACGGAACCGGTCCTAGGCTCAACACTCAGTACTTCATCCTCATCGTAGAAAACAGTCTCACCACCTCGTAGTCCCTCGTTAGGGCCGGTTAGATAGATCAACACGGTCCAGTGAGTACGCCCACCATCCGTCCACTGGCTCTCGTCCACGTGTTTGTCAAAATACTGTCCCTTTGTATAACGATACACCCTAATGTTGGAACTCAGACACTTTGCACCGTCAAACTGGTCTAGCCTGTGCAGCTGAAGAGTTCTCTTCAGGTGGTTCCAGAGGTTTGTCGAGGCGTCTCTGTCCTCCACGCTCAATCTGTCGTTAACCCTAGCAGCATAGTTCTTGGACTTCTTCAAGGGCGTCGTCTCCAGTGGTAAGCTGTTGAAAGCCGTCACCAGTTCCTTAGCGTACCTCTTGGAGTAAAAATTATCAATGACGATAACCTGAGGGTGCAACTCCCTCACGGAGGAGAAATCACCCTCTGTATAAAACAAAGAGCTCGGAAGCCTCTTCAAGGACTGGGTCTTAGGCTTTGTTTTACCCATCGTTGATGAGTCCTTGTTATCTGAGCAGATACGCTTCCTCGACGCTGATTGGCCAGCAGCAACGGCGATGACTTTGATTTTGATTAGAAATCCTCACATGGAAAATCTGCTCTGCTTATTACAACCAGCCCATAAATAAGAACAGGGACGTTGTGACGGGAAATGAAGACGATAGTGGTACTCTCCGGTAAAGGAGGCGTGGGTAAATCATCAGTGACTCTACAGCTTGCTCTTCAGCTCGCCTCTACAAATGCGCAGGTTGGTGTACTCGACCTGGACATAACTGGGCCATCATTACCGAGAATGTTTGGCGTGGAGAACTACAAAGTGTTGCAGTCTCACTCTGGTTGGCTGCCTGTCCGTGTGTCTCCGCAGCTACAAGTGATGAGCATTGGATTCCTGCTCTCTGATAGAGGGAACTCTGTGGTGTGGCGTGGTGCAAAGAAGACTGGAATGGTTCAGCAGTTCTTGAGAGATACATACTGGGGAGATTTGGACTATTTGATCATTGACACACCACCTGGCACCGGTGACGAACACATTGCACTGGCAGAGGAGATTAAGACGGTTGACGGTGCAGTCATAGTGACAACTCCTCAGATGGTTGCTATAAACGACGTGAAGAAGGAGATAAACTTTTGCCACAAGGTCAATTTCAAGATCATAGGGGTTGTTGAGAACATGAGCGGTTTCAAATGTCCCCATTGTGATGAATGTACTGATGTCTTCAACTCTGGTGGTGGTGAAAAGCTGTGTAAGGAATTGGGATTAACTCTGCTGGGCCAATTGCCCATAGACCCAGCTTTTGTCGAGACAGTAGAGTCTCAGAAGATTGTTCAGATGTACGGATCGACTTCAATGAAGAAAGTATTCGAGCCCGTTGCCAAAGCCGTGGAGGATAAAGTACAGGCCACTGGTGTGGAACAGCTCTCAACTTGAAAGCCCGTCTTGACTAACTGTCGACTTCACGGTGGCGATAGTGCAGTCACCTGGGCTCCGGAAGAGATGGAGACACCCATGAACTCGTACTTCCAGGCTCTTTCTCTCCCTATAGACATGGCTCATTAATTTTTGATGATTGATATAAAGCTCAGTATACACTCTAGAGAATATACGTGTGGTGTACGGATGTTACATGACACATTTCTCGTGGTGTGTTTCTGCTGTAAGCAACACTCTATGAGCTAATTCCATAGCAATTGGATATTTATACGCCCGTCTCGTCATTTGATAGCAAGGATCATTCCATGCAGCCACTTTTGTTTGTTTGGCGTGTTTCCGTTGGTCTGGAATTTCCATTTTAACCAACAATACGTGCGCTGTTGGTTGCATCGTTAAGGGCTGCATAGACCACATGACTGTCAAACTCAATTGAACATGTCGGAGACTTGCGTGTACTACAAACAGATACAAGGTTTGATTGCACACAGACGGAGACCATGAGGCACTTATTCAGAAATTCGAAAGAAGTCTGTTTGCTTTCGAACTGGTTGTATTACAATGCAGGTGAATAGCTGTTGTCTCGAGTATAAAGACCAACCTTGCGAATACTGAAAAACTTGTCACACTCCTCTTTTTTTTCTCATCAGCAAGAAACTAGTATTACACTCGTTAAACAGTTTGCACAGTCTCCAGGAAGTGATAACCATGAAGTTCGCCCAAATTCTTGTTGCAGCTGCTGCAGTTTCTGCTTTCAACGCTGAATTCCGCAAACCAAAGAAATCAAAACATGTTGAGCCAACGTCTACTTTGACTTTGACTTTCACTTCAACGTCTGAAGGGATTGTTACTTCTAAACACCATGAGAAGCCATCTCATACTAAGAAGGTGAAAACATCCACAACCCTAGAGCCAACGCTAACCAGTGAAGAGACCACTCCATGTGAAGAGACTACTACTGAAGAGGAAATTACTACTGAAGAGACCACTCCATGTGAAGAGACTACTACTGAAGAGACCACTCCATGTGAAGAGACCACCACTGAAGAGGAAATTACTACTGAAGAGGAAACCACTCCATGTGAAGAGACCACCACTGAAGAGGAAACCACCCCTTGTGAGGAGACTATCACATCTACAAGTGCAGGGGAAGAGACCATCACATTAACCAGCACGGAGAAAGAAACCACTACAATAAGCAGTGCAAAGGAGACTACTCCGTGCGAAGAGACCACCACACGGGAGGAAACCACCACACAGGAGGAAACCACCACACAAGAGGAAACCACCACACAGGAGGAAACCACCACACTTGAAGAGACTACTCCTTGTGAAGTTGAATCGACTTCTTCAGAGGAAGTTACCACTACTCTGACTTCGACATTGCTATTCACATCTACTTCTCTTGGTGAACCATCCACTGAGCTGTCTACACACGATGAGACAACCATTCCACACGGACCATCTACTACTCAGGTCAAACCACCACATTCTTCTGCCCCAGTTGTTCCAGTTATCCCGGCCAACACTACAGTTATCTCGGTTATTACATCCTGTGTACCAGGCTATCCATGTACTGGTCCATCTGCTCCATCTGCTCCATCTGCTCCATCTGCTCCATCTGCTCCATCTGCTCCATCTGCTCCATCTGCTCCATCTGCTCCATCTGCTCCATCTGTTCCATCTGTTCCAGTGCAGCCAGCAGTCCCTGGTGCTCCAAGTACTCCGTCTGGCCCAAGCACGCCAGAAGTTGTTCAGGTGTGCTCAGAAGGTCAACCATGTGAGACTAACATCACAACACCTGTCGTTCCACCATTCACCGGTGCTGGTGTCCAACTGGCCGTTGCAAATGTTGCTGGTATCGCTGCCATTGTTGCCTTCTTGATTTAAATGTTGCAAACAATCCCTACAACTTGTTTAATCAACTTAACATTCTGCTTTTACTGATTGGTGTTAATCACCGTGTGTTATACTGTTTTGTCAATATTATTACTAATACAAAGAAAATGAGTAACAAAATATGTTTACTTATATCGAACACGTAGTGGTTATAGTGTGATCTTTGATCCCGTGTAAGAAGTAATTGTCTGGAAAGATTGATTTGAACTCATCAAAGATCATGTTTGAGTCAACTTGACCGTAAATGACGTCAACAGACGTCGTCGAGGGTGAGGAAGATGTCATGATATCCTCATTTGTGAAGTTCAATGTCATTTTATATTTATATCTGAGTCTTTTGTTGAAAATTGAAAGAAAAACCTGAATCCCATTATCAGATCTTCTCATTGAGGTAGGCCAAAATAATCCCATTTGGTACAGATCTTCTTCTAGCTGGATGATTCTATTGTATAGAGCAGCAGACTGTTTCAGATATTGTGAGAATTCCAATGATTTGTTCTTATCGTCAAACTTGGTCAAATATACCCGCGTAATATCGGAAGCAGTTTCTGGCAATTCGAGTTCTTTTTCATCTGTAGAAAAATTGTATGAAAGTTCCATCTTTGAGTTTGTAACCATCTTTAGAGTTGATCCCTGTAATGATTTGAGCTTTAATCCCGTCACAGACCCCAAAATGCGGAAATTTGAAGCCAATCTTAGAACTCTTGAGTACGGGTCCTCCGTATATCGAGCTACTAAATCTCTTTTCTGATTAACAGTTTCCTCCATAGATGATGTATCAAATAGTCCACTTTCAAGTTTCTCTAATTGCAGTTGCAAAGTTTTTTCTTCAGCTTTTGCGCTTTCCAATTCATTGACCTCATTCAGTAGTCGTTTACGAGTTTGAATCAAAGACTCTCTTTCAGAGGACTCATATAGTCTCTTTTTCGTCTCAAGCGATTCAATATTGCTCTCTAATATCAAGTTTTCTTCTTTGAGAGATTCACAGAGCTCATCAGCTTGTACAAGCAAGTCGTTCAAAACATCACAATCTGATTTCAAGCTTCCTAAGTTTTTATCCAATCTCAGTTGAAGCTCGTCTAACAATTTTTCTCTCCATGAATACCACGATATCTCAGCCTGGTGATCAGAGTACTGTTTCATTTGTATTAGATGATCACCCAACTTTTTTTGCTGCTTCAGGCTTGAGGTTTCATAGTATTCACGAACAATTCTCGGATTCTCATCTGCAAACTCATCACTCAGGTTGTCGAACAGCAACTTCAACTCATTCATATTCTTCTGTAGTTCATCACAGCTGAAACTGTATAGTTCTAACCAGGGAACTTTAACATTCTTTGCAATAATAAAGTCTAAGAGATTTGCTGACTTTGGATTCGAAAGTGGTTGAATCTCTGCTGTAAAGTCCTCATTTATGTTCAAATCATCGAAGAATTCGATTGAGAGATCACCAATAAATTGGTCCAATGAGACTGGTTCGTATTCTTCTGGGACCGGTTCAGAGTTTTCTCCATTTTCATGAGATGGAGCCAAAGGGACTTTTTGTGTCAAGCTGAATTCAATCTTAGTAGAACTTAAGGACTTTCTAGAACTTTGAGTGGAGGATCGGAGGGGTGTAAAAGAGGATTTTAATTCCTCTTGTGAGCTCACCTGAGATGATAGAACAGATGAAACAGTTTCAAACGGAACTATTGAGCTCTGGCGGCCTTGTAGGGAATCTTTAATGGCAGGTTTTTTCTTTGGCGTGATAGAGTTCAACTTCGCTCTGAGATCCATTGTAACGTTATCATCATCCACATATTTTCTCTTTGATGATATAGGAGAGCCTGTTACAGAAGTATGGGATCTAATAGTCTTCAGAGGTGTAACAGTGGCTCTCATAACATTTACCGGAGTAACAGATTGTTGCTGAATAGATCCGTCCAACATGTTCGTCTGGTTCATTGTCAACTCCATGTAATCGTCTTGATGATGAGTAATTGACCCTAACGTTCTCGTTTGATCCATATTCATAATTTGATCTTCAACTTCTGGAGTTGTGTTTATTTTCCTGTTCAATAGTGTATTCTTCTTGGTGATTGGATCCTCTGTGCCAATACTGATCATTGTTGACTCCACCATAGATTCGTCGTCTGCTGTAGCGTCTGCCTCGGAAATATCCATTGGCATTTCAATTGTTGAATTATTTCCAAGGTCCTCTAAGTCAGATTTCTCTTGTTGTGATAATGGTTGGGTAAGTTCCATCTCAACTTCTTCGCCATCATCTTCCTCGTCTTCGTCTTCGTCTGAGAACAGTGAAGTGATAGCTCCAAACGGTCTGGATTTCTCTGAGTACTTGGAATCACCTTGACCTTCTTCAGTATTGTGCTCCAGTGGCAATTCGTATTGCGCCATTTGTTGTATATTACCCAAAGGTTTAGTCAAATCCATTGTACTGTCCTCGTCATCTTGTTGCACATGTCCATCATCTTGACCATCTTCATGAATCTTAAAAGCCAGTGCCCTCCTTGGGGAGGAGTACACATGGCTATCGTCCTCCATTTCAATATCCGAACTATCATAGAGGATATCTGGTTCGGTCCCTTCCTGCTTCTCCTTGTACAGGGCTACAGGAGCCATTTGTCTGGGAGTGTGTGGCACCACGGCAATTGTTTCTCTTCTTCTTGGACGTTGGTCATCTTCATACAGCGACTGTGGAATCAAATCAATCTTGTGTAGAGTCACTTCTGGCGCAAAGGATACTCTTCTTTTATAGCTCTCCTTGGCTCCCAGTGACAATCTTCCAACTTTGGGATCCCTGATGGGGACGGTGAGGTTGTTGTCAGTTTCATTTCTGTACTTCAAGATTCCTCTAGCCAAAGAATCCCTACGACCTGGAGTCTTCTCCGGGTTGACGTTCTCCTTTTCGTGATATTGCTCATCCATAGTTCTGTGCTTTTGCTCCTGCTTCTTCTCCTTCCCAAATCGCTATTCCCCTGTGGTAGAAGTATCAAAGAATCAAAACATTGGCCCTGAGTTGTTGATGTTGTTGTTTTTCTTTGTTTACAAACTCGAAATGTAAACAAAGCCAATGCGCCAAATTACCTGATCTGGCCATGTATCAGTGTCGCCACGACAACCAAAATGTTCCTATATTTTGTTAAATCGCATGCTCTCAATTGATTTTAGCTGGTCAATACAATTGTAAATGTAGGATAAAGAAAGACGTAATTTGGCGATGCCTTAAGCGAACAAAAAAGGTTAGGGAGTTACCTTTCTCCCCTGGTTTCCCTCTGTTGTTTCCCTGCTCTGTGTTATGGTACACCAGAAGGCTATGGCTGGTGTTCGGATGTGACACTGTCCCAATATTCTACTTATCATATATCAGTTATTATGGAGACCAAATTGCTATTATTATTAGTACGATTCTAATCAGGATCACTCAACAATACCAATAATGATCTCACCACAAGGTCGATAGTCTACACTAAGCAACAGCTGGTGTGTTAGATGTATAATGCTTATGTATAATATAACTTTAAGTTATGTGAGTTGTAACTCTCTACATACATCAAATCAATTGCACGCCACACAAAGGCTTGTTCATTATGGAAACAATAGAAGAAATACATGATGAAGTGCATGATGAAGTGCATGATGATACGCATGAATTAAACTAAAAATTGGCAATATTACAGTACACAGAGAGACAGATTGTATGGTGAACAGCTATATCCCAGTTCAATTTAACTCAAACTCGTGCAGAGTGCGCTGCATATTTCACAAAACCACAGTTACCATCAAGATAACGCGTTTAGATAGCAAGTGCACAAAAGCACTGTCTTGAATATTTAACTAGCTCTGAATCCTCAAAAATTGTTCTTCAACTCCTTCCACTCTTTCCCACAAATCCACAAATCACCAAGGATGGTAACAAAGGCTGATGGCCCTGTTGGAGTCTGTCCACCTCCTTCAAGGTTACCACCTGGGTACATCTTATGGTATACTGCCTAGTACAGCATCACTACTGGGAATACGTGAAGACTCTTGAGCAACGGTAGAACAAAGCAAGTTTGGTCAACTTGCTTTGTATGGTCACTGCTTTGGCTGCTTTCCTTTTACCAGATCATTGATTTACAACAGTATGTATAAGGTACAAGGTCTACAGATGGTGAGGGCTCTACTAACTGGAGAGTTTGGACAGAGGGGTGGTACTTTTTGGGATGTCACCGTTTTGAGGTTTCACACAACATGTGATTCAGAAGTACGGTTGGGCTACTCTCAGATTTCGGG